TTCCAACCTGTGACAGGATTTAGTGTTAGCTACCGACCCTGGATCCGATATTTGAATATGGCAGTTAAAATAAACAAATAAAATGTTAAAGTAGTGCTTAAAAAACTCAAAATTCCGTTGTCTTGGAGGTTTTGTATATACTTTGAAACACAGATCACCATCTTCAAATTGCCGAGGGGTAATCTAATCAGTTCCCACTGAATGACGTCTTCACTTACGTTTGATTTCAGTTTGAACAAGTCATTAAAAACGTTTGTTCACATCACAATATGTTGTGTCAGAAGTCTCAAAAACTAGATCATCACTTGCACATGAACAGCACAAACAGTGATGCTGTTTTTTTTAATGTGGCACGTGACTTTATATCTGGGGAAACTCCGGAAACTCCATCTTGGACAGCTAGCAGCGTCGTCTACCGATGTACTGACTGAAATGATGTGGGTCGTAGCCGCAAACCTTTCTCCACCTGTCTAAACTCACCATTCATCGTCAGTCTAAAACACCAAACCAAGTTACTCACTTTATCTGCTAAAACGCTTCAGAAAGTTGATAATTCCGACGTCCCTCGAATTCAACTATCCAGCACCGATTTCTTTAGAACATTAAAGAAAGTATAAGATCAAAGTAAATGTCACAGGACATGTGTAGTGTTGAGTTTGTCAGTAGGCTAAAGGAAACTAATCTAATTTTAGTAGTTTCACTTGAAGTTGTGTCATTTCCCTTGCCTAATGTCGGCCTGTAAGGCAAGGCAAAAGAATTAGATAAAAACAAAGAAATAAAGACGTTTAAAAACGACTACGTATTTCATTTGCCAACACGACAACCGGCAAATCTATACTTACACAACTTCCGAGTGAACCCAGAGCCAAACAAGCACCCATGATGTTTTAATTCCGTAAAAGTCTCGGTAAAAGTCCTCAAAGCTCGAAAAGTTCAGGAAGAAACTGACGCAAAACAATGGAGTCAGGTTAATTACACGGAACACAGTGACAGACGTCCGCACGAGATCTTCAAATTAAAAACTTCTTTGTCTGCACGTACATAATTCAGGTATAATCCATAGCTTAAAACACAAATATTTCAGTTAATCATACATGTTTGCATTAGTTTACATCCTCATATGAAATACAAATAATCCGCGGAACGTTCTGTTGCTGTTAAAACTGTGGCTGCTCTGTTTTACTTTGACGCCTAATCGACTGTACTTCCGGCACTGCTTGGCTAAATTGGGTAAAACTGCGCGCATGACAGTTTTCTCTGGGGCGTTACTGTTAATAACCAGATATTTGGCTTTTGGCCATCCAAAACCTATTGTGATTGGATCCGTGAGTTGTCCCTCCAGAAAGGTGGCCAATTATGTGCTAATGCGCAATGGCGAAAACGCCCTTCTTTTACAGGCCTTCAAACACCTAAACCAAAACGTACATCACGTTTTCTTAGAATTCCCTACTAAATTTCTCAGTGAACTATGGTCAAGTCATTAAAAAAACAGAAAGACAATATTAAATAGTATTATCATTATTATTAACAATCATTTTATTATATGAAAAACATGTTTCCTGTTATGTTGTATAGCGTATCTGTTTTAATGAGATACGCTATAGTTTAGAGAACACTCTATAGTTTTAGTGTGTTCTCTAAAACCATAGGGTGTTGTGTCGTCATCCATTTTATTGATATTTTAATTCTAGTGACCATTTTATAGTGTTCCTTTAAATGCCTTAACATTTAATGTCTTTGTTGTAAAGAAATGTTAAATACATGTTTATTTGATTTATTACACCTTACAGCACAAATAAAAAAAGAGAAGAAAAAGTAAAAGTAGTAGTAGTTTAAAGCAGTAGGGTGCAAACTTCCATCTGTTTGTGTGCCTGACCTTCAGGGACTCGGTGAAGGTGTTCAGCTGTGAGTAATTTGTTACGGTGCAAGGATCTATTTTCCGCCTCTTCACACTTGCTTTCTCTACCAGATAAAATGATGTTCAAATCAAACCCTTTGATACATAAAATCATGACTATAATCAATCCGATGTTTTTCCAAACATTCCGTGTCCTGTCATTAGACTTGTTCTAGATGTCATTTGATGCCATAATAAGAGGTCCACTGAACAAAGTATTTAGAGTGTAAAATTGCCTGTTGACTAAAACAACCTCAGAAAGCGCTTTGCTGTTACAGCATCGCTCTTCTTCTCTTAATGTTTTAAGGTGGAAGCCTTAAACAGCCTTGGCATGCATATTGCAGTCTCACTGCAATCTCTGCAGTAGGAAGGATTGAAATATTTGTGGTATTTAGGACTAAAGACATATGGTGGACTTATCTGATTTAGTCTAAGGGCATGTAAACAAGCGATACTGCTTCTGATCATCTGAACGTATAAAAAAGGCGCACCCCTCACTCATAAAACAATGGTACAAACCTTTGAGCCACAAGACTAAGCCCAGAAAAGAAAAGTAACAACGGAAACTGTAGCAAATTACCTTCAAAATAAAATAAAGCTATTCCGATCAATGACTGTAGAAAACAGATTACAGAAGGCAAAATCAATAATATTAAGAGGTAGAATTTGTTTTGATCACGATAATTGGTTTGTGTTGATTTCATGATTATTAAAAATCTGCGATAATTTTGTCATGAAGGGTTTTCAAAAATTAAGGAAGAGAAAACGGTCAATATGTATTTGGTAAGTAGAAAATGATACAGTAGCCAAAGGCTTACAAAGGTTATTATGTAAGGTTGCCATTCTTGTACACTTGTGTTTTGGTTTGCACTTTGCACCTCCTTACACTCAGCTGCACATGTCTGCCCTTTAACTTATGTTATTATTATTGTTGTTGTTGTTATCAATAATAAAAATAATAATAAATCATCTATATGTTATTTGCATATTTTTAATTGATTGTTTTCACATTTTCTATTTTATTTAGTCAAACTCTTCAAGCTTTCCAAATCCCTCCTGCTTGTTTTTAACTTTTTATGGCTGTCACTGTCGTCCACTAAATACAAAGCGGATTTGCTGTCATTGTAAAATTACTTGACATTACAACTAAGTACTGCTTTATTTTTTTTAATCCATATATTCAATGAATCTCTCTGTTTATGTCATCTTGCCTACTTTTTCTAACGCTTGCTGTTGCTCTTATTTTGAAGGCCGAGTTCCCCTCTCTTCCTGTATCTCCCGGCCTAAGCGCGTGCGTCTTGACCCGCCTCTTGTTGCCGCTGCTGAGCGCACAGTGAAGCGCTCCTCTGTCCGTGTGCTGTCACCGCTCATCATTTAGTCCACCGTGCCTCGGGTCCGGCGCTGTCATCTGGAATGAGGCGGTGTGGTGTGTCGTATCGGACGGACTCCTTGACACTGCGCACATTCTCTTCTTCGTCCCTGCGGAAGATGGTGGCTGGCGGCTAATTCCAACTTCTTACTCCTTGGAGGTCCCTTATGCCCCCCCCGCCTGAAGCGCACTGAAATCAGTTGGTGAGTGTTCGTCGTTGCGCACATATACCTACACTTGTTCTGCTCCACAGGTAGGACAGCAGACTGTTGCCTGCTCATGTGCCTCCGAGGCTGACTGCAGGAGAGCTGCTGGTTCCATAGATTAAAGGCATGCTGGAGCCATTATGTGCGCCGAAAGTGATTAAAAAAGAGAGAGAGAAAGCAACAGGAGCATCGACTTATCTACCAGCAGCACTCACATCTGGCACCAGCTGAAGGCTCGTTCAAACCGAACAGCACCTTATTGTAAACGTTGACAGGTGTCAACTCCAGCAGCCTACCTGTCAACTCCGTATGAGCTGGTAGCACTGAGCGCATCAGCTGTTCACATAAAAATGCCACAGGCTCCCAGCAGCGAGGTTGATGGTAGCTGGATTATCTGCTTTGGTTTATTAAAAGGTGGGTAAACTGTGACCTTCAGGCATGAAGTGTTGGGATAATTCTCAGGCTGCGTTTAAAATGATTGAAAACATGGATGAATGTTCGCAGGAGAACAGGCTTTTGGTTTCATTTTAAAGGACACCTTTTTTTCATAAGGATACAGATACATAATCTACCACAAACATCACTACAAGAGGCTGGAAACTCTAAACCTTCACTAAAATTAATCTTTTATAATGCTTCATACCTGCCTGTTATATATTAACAGGTGACACTGTTAAACCCTTTAATCTACTAAACTCTTAATAGCCTTGCTATGTTTGTCCTTATCCTCAGCACACCGTCATTTCACATTCATATGAGTTTCAGACCTCCGAGTGAGCAAAGGGCCTTGAACAAGCCTCAGTCTTTATGCTTTGGTGAAGCTAAACATGTTCCCAAAAACAGCTCAGGATTTAAAACCCTGTCTGTCTGCCTCTCTGTGTTGCATCGTCTTGCACGAGCTCTGTAGTGAATCTTAGTTGTACAATGTCAGGTAAAGTAATTGCAGTCCGGGGTCGGCCTGGGTGTTAGCAGAGCCTTGCTATTTTTCATAGTCATTTTAGCTCCGAGGCACTTGGTTTCAATTTATGATTTCACCCTGTGTTAATTACATCACCATGAGGTCATGTTTGAGAATCAGCCTCAGTTCTTTTTTTTTGGTCTCTGTGATGCAGTGTGATACCTGTCAATCACGCTGTGTGGACAATGCGGTCTCAAACCAGTGGCTCCCTTTGTTTTTAACAAAACCACTAAAGGAATGTGAAAATTAAACTCTTGATTTCGCTGAACCTCAATAGCAGTGGATGTAGACACATATATAGTTTGTCTTCATTAAATTAAAATTGACTATATTCAAAGCTGTTGGGCTGCTATTTGTTATGAAATGGAATACCATCCATCCATCCATCCGCTTCCGCTTCTCCTTTTCAGGGTCGCGGGGGGCGCTGGAGCCTATCCCAGCTGTCATAGGGCGAGAGGCGGGGTACACCCTGGACAGGTCGCCAGTCTGTCGCAGGGCCAACACACAGGGACAGACAACCATTTGCGCTCACATTCACTCACACATTCACACCTAATGGCAATTTGGATTTTCCAATTAACCTATCCCCACAAGCTGCATGTCTTTGGACGAAATGGAATACTTTTAATTTTATTTGTTCTTGGACAGGTGAGGTTCAAAGTGGCCCGCAGAGCTTTCTAGTTACTCTATTTCAATGTGGGCCAACACATTTTTTCTTTTTCACTGTTGTTCTGTTTTTCTAGTATTTAAAATAATCAAATATTGCAGTGATTATAGTTAATAATTTTATAAAGTGTTAAATAATCCTCCTAACCAGACCAGCCAACTGCAGAATAGTCACATGTGGTAGAATATTAATATATATTGATAGGTTAATTTATACTTAATAGGTGGTGGCGACTTCATTAAGATAAGATTAGACCTTAGAGTATAAAGGTCTTTGAGGCAACTGTTGTTGTCATTTGACACTGTATAAATGAAACTGAACTGAATTAGACAGCATGTACTTTATATATTCCAACATCGGAAAATTTGTTACAGCAGTTAAACTTTTTTTTGAGACAATAGACATGGCTTAATAAGCAGGTATTATAACGCTCCATTATGTCTCAAGGCTCCGTACCTTTTTGTTTTTTATGTCAGAAATTGTTGTAAAATAGCGCTTTTGTAAAGATTACCAAACCCTGCCCGTGTTGTTATTATTTTTTATTCATTTATTTTTGAGTTTTGGTCGTGTTCATTGTAACTTATTCGTTCTTCTACAAAAGGAATCCTTTTGATGTTAAAAAAAAGACCTATTGTAAACTTTTATACTGTATAGTCACAGCAGTGTTGGCAAACAACTGCCTCAGCAAGATTAGCATTTATCTAAAGTTGTGTTTCTAGCTATTTGAAGAATATTGTCATTACTTAGTGGGGCTGTTTAGGTTTCATTCAACTCCCAGTATGATACCGGAAATTTGGAAGTGGGTAACAGTTGCGTAATTCTCGGTTTAAAACAAAAAATAGAGCCGATCTGATTTTTATTGGTAGGCCAGTATTATTGACTGATGTTAA